GGCGAGAGTGATGTCGCGCCGCCGCCATAGTTGGCGAAGGTTAGCAAAAGCACTTCGAGCTTTTGCTATACGGTTCGTGATCTCGTCTTCGATTCCAAGGGCGCTGATACAATTTCCCAGGTAGTTGAATTACTGAACGACTTCTAGCTGATCCCCACCAAGGGTCAGCACAGGAGGCGATCCCTACCAATCTTGGAGGAACGCTTTGCACTTCGAGGGTGCAAAGCAAAGCCCGAAGCGGCTGACAGCCAGTGCTAATCTGTCCAGCGCAGCTTGGCACGTCTGGGAGCTGCCACAGATGAGGGAAATGTCGTCTGCATACTCCAAGTCAAGAAGTCGTTCTCCTGGGAGTAGCTCCACACCTTCCAAGTCATGTCCTGTAAATGCAAACTCCATGGCTTCGTCAATAGCGAAGTTGGAGAGGAAAGGTGACAGCGGGCATCCGTGTCTCACACCGCTGGAGATATTGAAGGGTGGCAACAGCTTGCCGTAAGCCCTCACTCTGCCCGTGCTACGCGCATATAATGCTTGGATAATATTTACATATCTCTCGGGCACGCCTTTCCTGAGTAAACAATTCCAAAGGGCACATCGATCAACCGAATCGAAGGCACCTTTGATGTCCAGAAACACGACTACGGTGGGGCGCCAATATGTGTGGCGGTGCTCCAACAACTGACGCAACGTGAAGATGTGGTCGATGCAGCCACGACCACGACGAAACCTGGCTTGCTCCTCACGAATTTGACTTTCACGAGCGCCAGTCAGTCTGTGAAGAATTATGGAGGCGAGTAATTTGGAGACGATGGAGATCAGACTGATTCCTCTATGGGTGCCGCATTCCAAGCGCGAGACACCTTTGAAGATGGGAACAATAACGGAGTGGCTCCAGTCGGTTGGGACAGTCTCCTGCTCCCACAGTTTCACTAGTAATTCATGTAAAGCATCAACAAGAGCAGTCTCCGAATTTGGAGAGGGCTGGAGGAAGATCATCTGGTCCCGCGGCTTTGTTTAACTTCAACAGTCCGATCTCACGTTCGACTTCTGAGCAAGAGGGTGGATCCAAAGGGACAGCCCACGGAGCAGGGCGATCAGTGACCGGCGAGAAATCTAACAATTCTAGCCGATTAAATTGCTTTTCAAAATGTTCGGCCCAACGTTCCAAACGTTTTGACAAATTGTGGATAGGCTGTCCACTCTTATCACAAATTGTTTCACTAACACCAGGTCTCCTGCTGCTCTTTTCCCGTATCAGACGGAATAACTTACGATGGTTACCAAGGGCAGCGGCCACTTCCATCTCTGACGCACGATGAGACCACCAAGATTCGCAGTCTCTCTTCAGGCTAGCGCAGAGTTTTGCCCGGAGCTCTTTGCGAGTTTCATTGTGCTCGCTTCCAGCCGGAATATGCCGGCGAGCGTCGATAAGTTCCAGAGACCGAGAAGAGACCCAATATCCATGTTGGCTATTAGACATACCACATGAGGATTTGCCCGCTGCTAGTAAGGTCTGGCGAACATGTGACCAGTGACCATCAATTGTCTCCTGTGAGCGATTACTCAACTCGCATGTCAGCGTACTTCGATACGCATTCAGAACAGCTGGCTTTGTCAGTTGGCTGGTGTCAATGCGCTCACAGCGTCGTCGTGGGCGTCCGCCAAAGCGCATTCGCATGTCAGCACATACAAGTGCATGATCGGTGTCCACACATGTGCTCCAAATCGAGCGACAATTCTGGATGCAGCCTCTTCAGCGGTAACTAATAGCAATGTGATCGATCTGCGTCCAAGGCTGGTGGGCGCCAAGTCACAATCCAGCTAGTGCTGTGTCGGAAATTAGTGCTCGCAAGAAATAAGCGAGCATCTTCCCACAAATGAAGTAACCGCTCACCGTTATCATTACGGGAGTCTACACCGTGTTGACCGCCCAGATGCACTTCATCAGTGGACAACTTTCCAACTTGTGTGTTCATATCCCCCGCCAGCGCAACAGTGTCCGTGCTTCTTCTGTGGCGAAGGAGCTGAGTCAGTTGGCGGTAGAAGTCGTTCTTTACCGAATCATCGCTACAGTTTGTGGGCGCGTTGGCAGCGATGATGAATAAACACCTACTAGTCCCGCACGACTTTGAAGCTTTAAACGAGCCAGCCAATCGGACCGCACACATCCGGCTACTGATTGGAATCCAATCAACCAGAGCAGCTTCAGCCCGCGGACTCAGGGCAATGCCAACACCAGCTTGGCCAGTGCTCGAAGCAGTATCGTCACCGGATAGGTGCACTGAGAAAATACTGTTTGCGTCACCTGAAGGGGATCGCAAAGTGAGCACAGAGCTCGAGTCTTGCAGGCGGGTCTCTGATAAGCAGCAGATATCGATCATAAGGGTCTCCAATGTTCGGGCAAGTGCTGCCTGCTGACCGATTTGTAGTAGTGTGCGTACATTAAGGCATGCCAATCTGAAGGAGCATCGAGGGCTCCAAATGGAAGCCGATGAATTGGAATGGACCGCTTGGTTGGACATGGGCTTGTGGACAGGAGAGGAGAGACGCTCCGCGTTCACATGTGAGTTGAAATTAGAAGATAAATGCCTAGCAAAGCATGTTGGGGGAGGGCCAAAAATCGGGGGGTTGAAAACTGGGGGATATAAGTGAAGTTGGAAAGGGACGGTAAGAGTGAAAAAGCGTAAGAGGGGGAATAAGAAGACGGGAAGGCTTAAGCAGTAGCATCCAAACCCCTATCCACCCTGCTCGATGCAGCAGATAGGGCACCGTTGATTATCCTCTGCGGTGGCCAGAGCATCAAGCAATTGTTTGATGAAAGATTCATTGTATTGCGTGGGCAGGATGCTGTCAGGTTGCCCAGGCCTAGACAGGAGAACGATTAGGGTTCTCAACCAAAGCCTTTGGTTCAAAAACCTGTCCGCAAGGCAGCGGGTTTGGCACTGGGCTACAAGGAGTCCGTTTCAAGGAATAAGGAGCCACCCTCATTCCAACCCCCAACCTGGAGGACTGAGTTTGTCTGGCCTCTAACCACTGACCAATCTGGTATGAGTGACTCTGAAGGTGCAAAAATGCACCACCCAGTATAGCTCAATGGATCACTGAGTCACACAAACCATCGCACCACGGTAAGGTCCAGCCTCATTGCGATGGCTCCAGTGATCCAGTCCTTCACAGACTTTGAGGTAAAGCCAAGGGTAGATAAAGCGGCGCGCTGAACTGATGATTTTAGCCTGGACAAAGGAGCGTCGACAGATTCATCTTTTGCAAGTACGAGGCGTGGTGCACTGGCAGAGATTTCAGCTTCTATTACTGCTTCAAGAGATGCGCAGCACTCAGCATTTTCCAGTGGGGCAATGTTGATACGCTTTGGTGGAAGGGTTTTGCGGAGCGTTGTCAAGCGGAGTCTGAATTTGGCGAGGATAAGTACGTGGTCCAAACCACCTTAATTGCCTCGACAGTCATCGATAGAGGGCATCCACCGGGATGGGATTATGTAATCTACCTGGTTAGCTGTACGACCATGATTGAAGTACTACGTCAGAAGATGCTTTCCTGGATGCTGGAAGCGAGTATTGGTTACGCAAAACCGGTTAAAATCAGCGAAGCTGAGCAAGCGGTCTGCACTATCAGAACGCTCTCCAAGGGCGTATCTCCCGAGTATGTGACGGGTCTGATTGTTTCTAACCCGGTTCATGCATTCCAATCCCCAGCAATAATGAGAATGTCGCGTTTTGGAAGATGGTTCACCACTGTCTATAGAGTACCGTAAAATTCGTCTCTATCCGTTTCCGCTGAGGGTACGGTTGGTGCGTAGACAGATAGTAAGGTCAGATTCATCGGGTGATGTTTGAAGTGAGCAAGTGCAATTCTAACTGATACTAGCTTCCATGAAAAGAGAGGGTTGTGTGCCTGGCAGCTGAGAGCCATGGCAACCCCATGATTGCCCTATGACTGTCATGATCTTCCGACCCACTGTGGTAAAGCCAATATGAGGTGCATACACCGAAAATTTTGACTTGCCGAGAGCCAAAGCCAGTTATTCGAGATTTTGACATGCATGATATACCGATCCGGTAGTCATGTAGTGTGCGCATGGTCAACGCTTGGCTGTCAACATCCAACAGGGTTCGGACATTCCAGCATCCAATGAATAGTGGCTCCCGGGGGTTGAGGGACACAGCTAGCTTACTTGGCACTCTGGTCAATGGATTAGCGCACAGCGCGTCGCCTACCGGGAACACAGTAGTATGAGAAGAATCGCGGGTATGGGACATGTCATGAGGTTTTGTGGGGATTATGAGTATGCATGAGGACCCCAACCTCATTCGGCTTGGTTGTTTGTACAGCCAAGTGCTACCTGCAAGGTAGAAGGGATCTTGGAAATTGTCTTTAGTTCTGGCCGCTGGATCAGGCGTCGATCTCTTTCACCCAGCTGTCAGGACTGAAGGTGTACGCGGGTACGAAGTTATCGAGAATAGTGTTCCAGGATACCTTCACCTGCCTTAGTCAGCGTGACTGACGGTTGATTGGGGATGGTCGTTGCCGCGTGTAAGCAGCTCCTTGGAGCCACAGGCGAGAGCTGGGTGACAGGTGGAGACCAAAGATAGGCGGGCTGCCCCGGAGGGCAACGCAGGTCCCCTACCAGAGGTACTACTCCTCCCTGGCACCCCGGACACTCTTTTCGCATGGACAGCAAAAGTTAAAACAAAAGTTCAAGTGACTTGTCAACTGAGAGCAATAGGTAGATACAGCAGTGTCAAAAAATAGACTGAGGTCGTGGATGAGACCATTTCTAACAGTCTGTCAGTATACTGTGCGAAACACTGCCTCCATCTGAACTTAAGGTCGTTATAATGAGTAGCCACCTTATGGTTTGTTTTAGAGACCACAGGACAGTTCAATCGTTAAATGATCAGAGCTGCGAAATGGCACAGGGAGAATAGCTTCACGTTGTTAACCAGCACTAGAGCAACAGTCGCATTGGATCTAGTGGGGCTTACCGTAAATGGATCATACATGCCTGAAGCACTGGCACAACTAACATCCGTACAAAACGCTTTGCCGTCAGTCAGCTTCCACAGCAGCCATGTTTCCAGACATCCGTAGCAGGCCAAGTTATTTCGACATGCGGATAACAACTGAAAGCAACAAAAAAAACATGTGGTGACCATACGGTGGAGAATAGGATGCTGAGACAGTCAGTCGGGCAATGTTTCATAGTGGCCGCAATTGCAAGGTGAAGTACAAGATTGAGTAGTGGGTGATAAACCACCTGTGAACTTAGTAAAGTCACGAAGGGAGAGACCGGAGTATAGTGCACAGCGGCAATAGTGATAGCGTAAATTCAAAGTGTGATGGAAGTAGTAAATAGATAAGTAAAAGCTAAAAGGAACGCTTCTCGATCACTGAGTGGAATTTGATTTAGTGAGACCTCGCGAATATAAGGAACTGACCAACCGAGGTGCTTGGTAGCTTAGCGATAACATGGCAAAGAAACATCGAGAGAACCTAAAGACCCAGTCGTGCCAGAGAGGGTTAAGGGATCGACAGCATCAAAGGCTCAGAACATTGGCTGACTGTGAGACGGTGGCAATCAATCCACTGCTACAATGGAAAGAGGTTAGAAACTACTCTTTGCAGAAGAAGTGAACCATATGGCATAGCTCAGTTTATCCGGCATGCAGAGTTGTCTCCATGTCCTCCTCTGATCCGAGGAACGTCCCTCTCTCTGAATGGCGGTGTTGAGCTGTGGAGCGCATCCATAGATGAGCACTCGTGGTGAATAGCTTTCGGTGCACTTCTATAAGTTTAATACGTGTGACGAAGTATCCAGTTGTAGCATGCCGCATCGTCTCCAAAGTGGCTTAAGTGCCCTCATTCTTGGTTAACATAAGTCCGCACAAAAAGGTTTCGCATATAGGCTAGGTTGAGTGACCCCAACAGGATCGGGAATATATCATGTATCGAGCTTAAGGCTCGCTTGAGTCGGTATCCTCTACTTGATTTTGCACTAGATATGCATGCAGTCGCGAATCACTGGAGACTAGACATTTGTAGTACTTCCACAGTTCTGAAGTCAATAAAAAACGATGGCACGTGAAACCTACGCAAAAATGAAACGTACACATATATCGTTCTTGAGCTGTCCAAAGCAGAAACAGGCGACGGATATCAAGTAATGGGTTGCGAGCTTAATCGTTCTGTAAGAAGCGATCACTGACTTCTAAGGAAATGGGGAGCGGTAACGTCCAGGTATCCGTGCTGACTATAACGTTTTGTAGGAAACTTCAAGTAACACTTGTTGTTTTATCTGGTGATAACAGGCAGCAACGAGATGATCGGGAGCGGAAAAGGTGCAGAAAAACAGCAAAAACAACAGCAGCAGTATATCAACCATTTGAACTGATATTTCGCTGCCGTACAGATACAATGACTTGAGGAACGAAGAACAATAAGAGGAAGAGAACGGAAACCATATAAAACCTTAATGCCCTAAACAAGCATTCAGGATCAAGGAGGCTACACCACTTCAACAACACCGTCACAAACAGCTGGCTATCGTGCAAGGATAAAGTGTCATCGGGGAGACGATAGCAACCGCTCCATCAATGTCGACTGCGAGCCATCTCATGTAATGTCACCAGCCAAGTACAAGGTAAGTCGCGCGGACTCTAGTCTGGAGGAGGAATTGAGTCTACAGCACCCATTTTTGTAGTTAAAGACTATATTTCCCGCTGCTAAGTTAACTATTACCCACCTCGAACCTTGCGCTATCTTACATCTAATAAACAAAACAAGGCTCTCCTTGGTAAGCGGTGACCCGGCTACCGTAGCATGTGCCTAAGCCAACGCAACGTATTCATCATTAGTTGTTGCTCTAAGGAGCTAGCCTGATTATCACCGCCTAAAACTTGCCTAGGCATACGATCGTTGCGGATACCAAGTTGCAATCCGACACCAGTAAAGCTCTGGGGGCAGTGATGCTCAGATCACCAGATCGACGGGGCTAAGTCTTAATCCCAGAGAGAAGGCTGCCCTCACTGTGGTCTTGTACGCACGGCCTTAAGGCCAACGGAAACGCCATTCTGACGCGACATATGTCTCAGGTTCGAGAAAGCTGTTGTAGCTCTCAAAATACGTGAACTTCAGCAACCACAAGCCTATACTTAGCCGCCGCAACTGCCAGGTGGGTGAAGCGACCAACCATCTGGAATTCGTTGCTATCAAGAGGTCATCATCATCATCATCATCAACAGCAGTACATCAGCCATTTGAACTGATGCTTCGCTGCCATACAACCATGAGGACTTATGAAATAAAGAATAAGAAGAGGGAGAGAAGGGGGACTTACCTGAAAACCTTAATGCCCTAAGCAAACATTCAGGGTCAAGGCGCCTACACCTTGTGTAGGCAACATACTGTCACAAACAGCTGGCTATCGTGCAAAGATAAGGCGGCATCGGCGAGACAGCTTACTTGCGGCTTTCACTGCCCCGCGTCATAATCAGCTATTACCCCGCAGATAACTCAGCACCAAACACACTTTAAACAGGCAATCCAATTAGGAGACGGCAACAGACGCGCCACTGGTGTCGGTTGCGAGCCATGTCCTGTAAAGTCTCGAGCCAAGCACAAGGTGAGTCACGTGGACTCCAACCCGGAAGGCGAGACGGACCAACGGCACCCAGTTTGGTCGTCAGTGACTTCATTTCCCGCTGCCAAGTCAACTTCTGTCCACCTCGAGCCTTGCGTCATCCTACACCTGGTAGACTGAACAAGGCCCTCCTAGGTAAGCGGTGACCAGGCATGCGTAGCACGTACCCGAGCCAACGTAACTTATTCAGTGCTATCTGCTGTTCTAGGGAGCTAGCATGATCATCACCACCTAGTACTCGCCTACGCACATCATCGTTGCGGACACGCTGATGCCATCCGACACCAGCAATGCTTCGCAAACAACGATGATATCAAGAGGTCAGCAAGTAGCTGGTGGTCCTGAAACTGAACGAGACATACTACTTGCCAAGATCAAACGTCCAATACCCCAAGGATGGCCTTATAACTGTGATCCGCAACTGCTATCTTACTTTACTCGACATGCCGAAGTTAGTCTTGGAGATGGAGATCTAACCAGCGGCCAGCCGCTATACAAGTTACACGAAACTCCCCCGAGAATCCCAAGGATGAAAGCACTTGCGCAATCCTATGTATGGTGGCCCAATGTTGACAGCCACTGAAAACACCTGTCAAAGCACAGAAAAAGCGCCCCTCCGGTACCACTGAGCCCGTGGAAAAGACACAGTTAACCATGGGAGCGTGTACACGCTGACTTCTTCGGCCCGCTCGACAGGAAGATGTTTCTTCTCTTGATTGACACCTACTCGAAATAGATCGTTTTTCCGCTAACAAGAAAATGTGAAGATGCTTTACAAACTTCGGTATACCACACACGCTGGTGACGGACAATGGGATCCGTGTGTACTAGTCAAGAATTTCAGGAGTTTCTGCAAAACAACGGCAGACGTCATGCGAAGTTAGCTCCTTACTACCCAACTTCTAATGTATTAGATGAAAGACCGGTTCAAACGGTCAAAAACGTGTTACAAAAACAACTGCTGGCTCCAATGCGAGCAAAGTTTGACACATTTCTTCTGGTTAAGGCTCCACGCCGAACGATAAGAATCCTGGCGAACTAATGTTTGCGCAGAGATTAAGGACACGGCTAGAGTTGCTACGTGTCGAGACCAAACAAGATAAGTCTAAAGCCGAGCATTACCGGGGGCGGGCGATCGAGAGCTCTGAGAGAACGAACTGGTTTATGTCAAATTGAAGACGGAAATGAAACGGCAATCTGGAGATCAGTGTAAAGTTACGCGACAAAATACGGAAGTGGCTATACCACACGGCAGGGTAGTCATTGGGCACAAGGCTCATGTCTGTGCCCGCTCTGTTGCGGTTCAGCTAGTAGATACATCGACAAGCTCGCTCACTGAGCTGGAAGAGGTGCAGAATGCCAATCTACCGGAGACTCCACAATGTGACCGCTCAGGGCTAGTACGCCGATCAGTCGACCGGTACCAGGCAAGCTGGATAGTTCCAACTAAAGAGGAAAGGAATACGGCATCTGCGCAAGCTGAGTTCACTTTCTTCCCATTGGCCGAACTCATCGGCATCAGTACCTGCCAACTTAACACTAAACCAACCATTGATTGGACTGATTAATATTGTGTGAAGCGTTGTGTTTGAGGCTAGATATAACATATTTTGCGTACTGCTGAAACTGACGTGTTCTGTTGTCTTACGCTACGAGCCGAATACTACATTTTACTGTGAGCTGTAGTTTCGCAAGGGCTGAGTTGTAGCAGGCTGTTACTGCTGTCTCTGATCGTCTCAATGACGCCCGGTTTCCTGTGAATACTAGTGCGGATCACTTGGAATAGCTTGCCTACTGCTCCCGACTCCTCCATTTCCTGGGCCCGTTTAGTTCATTAAACTTTACTGTCAGCACGCATGCTCCATTTTTGTTCGCGCCTAGTAGTCTGTATGGTTACACGGCCGGGAATTTTCTTATGGATTCCAAGAGGTCCACCGAGATCTCGGAAATCCAGTGACTGCTGCGGTAACGACTGATAGTGCCACAAGCAGACTCTCGCATCGTGCATGGCGGCCAGGATTCAATACCACTGTAGCTCAATGTCATTAGATTAAGAGCAAACGTTCGGTGCACAGGGAATCCTGGTAGCCTTGCCTGAATGAAGGATGGAATAATTACTCTCTTTCTCTAGCTATTGACCAACCTGGCAGCAGTGGCTCTTAAGAAGAAAAGGAGCACCACGCAGTATAGTCCCATGAGTCGAAAAGTTACAAAAACCGTCGCATCACGTTAAATTCCAGTCTCGTTGCGATGTGGAAAAGGTCCACACTAAGGTATTCAGTTTCTCTTCATCACACTGTTACACCTAGCCTTAGAAGATCCCGAAAAACTACTGCAGGTTTCTTCCGACCATGGCCAACCACAAGTGCCATTTGGCAGGTTTGCACTTTCTTGACGGAGGGCCACATGGTTTGAAGTTGGTGGTTACAAATCACTGAGCACCACGCGCTTCCTTATTACAATTAGGTACGACAGGTGATATTC